GTTGGCAGTATTTGCTGCAAAAGTGAGTAAAGTGTACTTGAACTGAAACAAGAACGGAAGGACTCAAAGGCCATTACCAAGATTAAACCAAAAACTTGTTAAATCCAGTAAAAACCAACATGGCAGAACTAAAATACAAAACTCTCATAGAATGGACAACAGAAAATGTTGCTGACCAGTGCGAACACTGATGGCACACTGCTAATGCAAGCATCGAGATGTTTTAACTTTGTGGTACAACCGTTATGGCTAAGCAAGCAATAACAATTTTCTTAAAATGCTGGACATACAGTATAATCTTACACTTATACTGTTTAGTATAAGCATCGACCATGATAACACGTAGAACCCTTCAAATAGGTTAGAATTCACATAGCTTAAAATGAAAGTTCGCTTACAGCATATACAGATAACAAGTGTCCAATAAAAATATCGTCAGGTTCAAATCTTGAGTGTCATTTACTGATTCAGCAACACATAGTCAAAAATTGCAGGCCTTAATATTGCGCGGAATTAACCATTAATAGACAGCAAAGTATTTCTGCAAGTTCACTGTGTTTAAACGAATGTTAAAAGGACGGCATAGAAATTGAACACCAGTATCATTATTTGTGGATTGCCGAAATCTACTTTAGGGAGTAGACTGAAGTTGAGTAAGACGTAATGCGATCAACAGTGCTGCTTGTGGGTACTCAAACACGAGTTGTAGAATTTTTGTAAAGTAACTGCATTTGTTTTCTGGTGAGCGAACCCTGAGCAAAGATGACAGCTCAGTTTTAGCACATTTATACTTGGCTAAGCTGTTGAGTATTCAAGCTCTTGGATGAAGAGCACTTATCAAATGATGGATGTCAACTTTCAGCTACTGTATTTCATACAGACAATGGTTTCCCTACAAGGTTATAGGAAACCAAAGTTCTTTAGCTTACGGTTAGTATTGACTTGAATAGTCAAGATCTGATGGAGCATCCTTGAGCTAATTAGCATGTGGCTGAATGAAGTCGTTTGAGTGATAATATTCAAGATCCAAAGGTGTTTCAGCTCCAACGTCAATGTTGCCCTTGAACTTAAACGGGCCGACATCAGATAAATGCTAAATCTACGTCAGCTATATAACGAGATTACAGACATTCTCAAACTGACTGAAAGAATAAAAGCATACCATTTGCAACGCATCAGAAAAGTAATTCAAGGCGATAACTGAGGCTCGCTCAAAGTTAGTGAATGTTTTGCAGATTCCAGACGATATTAAATCACGCTGGACTGTACACTACGTGATTTCTGATCGGTTTTGAAGCATACTGAAAATAATATCATTAGCGTCACCAAAAAAGTGCGTATCCAACAATCGCTAGAGCAGCTAATGCTGCATCTAAACAAAGGGTATTCAAACGAATGGCTGAGGCAACAGGCAGGACATTACAACGCGACGTAATTGAAATGGGAGAGATTTTTCCTGTTGTACAACATAAACGTAATGCCACAATTAAAGAAAGCTACAGAAAAGAGCAATGCTGAAAGAATCGTCGAACGCAGGGAGCAAAACATTAAACTTAAAATTAAAAATTAAATGCTAACAACAATTAGGAAGAAAAGAAAATTGGTAACATTAAAGAGAAAAAATGGTGAAGATGGTGGCAATGGCATGTTATTCGGTGCGTTAATAATAAATCTGAATTTTAGATTCCAAACCAGTCTAAGACTGTTTTCAAAGATAACTGATCGATGTGCAGCAGAAGGATATAAAACAACCATCAGTGCTAAGAATTAACGTACTTTAATAATCACAAAACAATGAAACAACTACAAAAACTTTAATTCTGTTTTCGTACACGATGTACTGCAGATGCTGTAACAGCGGCTTCACCATCCTAAAACACCGATAAATCAAAATTACTCATCAATACGGACACAAAGCTTCAGTTGAAATGGATGAGTTTACACATAACAATAACTGTTACCGCATTGCTGTCTTGAAAACTGGGTTCCCAGGATTCCTCTTCATGCTTTTCTTTAGAAGCTTCACTTCGCTGACTATCAATGGATTCAGATTCATGGAATTCCCTATCCTGTGATTCATCTTCTAGAAGTGATTCCTGAACATCTGGAAGGTATTTATCGGTTTTCTTTGCAATTGCTGTTGCATCCTGAAAACTGAATTTTATACATGCGACATTACAACAATTTACCTTGGAAGACCCGCAACAGAAGATCGTTATGACAATCAACGGGATCAAAATAACCAACAGATACACAGCCCAAAGCCACGGGCGTTTGTTTGCAACTTGAATTAGATTTTCAAAAAACGATTCGTTCTGAAAAAGCCTTATTTAGGAATACAATTCAGCTTAATCGCATAAATATCGTAGAAAACAACACAAGAAACATTCTCGTAAATTTCAGACCACTTCGTCATTTTCTTCTCATATAAGTAAATTGCTACAAACACAGGTATGACGAAATTTAAAAACACTCATTCAATTAGCTATGATGCCCACAACAATTTAGGTCTGAACACTTTATATGAAATCTGTTGTTTAAATTTCACATTTAAACAATGCAACATTTCTTGCTGTAGCATTGCCATTACACCTTTACTGCTTGTTCATTACGGGCAGCACAGAAAGCTTAAAGCCTATCACAGGACTGAAATCTTAATAAGATCAATGAAGATTGTACTTAGTCAAAATAAGATTTAACAGTGATAAGGCACATCCTGTTGATCTCGCCAAGGCTGAAACTTCACTGAAAGCTTGATAGTGTCATCACCGAACATTACACCCGTTACCCAAAGACGTTTTAAAATTACCGCAGACCAGTTAATAACGATTACAGTAAGCGACTGTGCGTTTGCTGTCACATTGCCAATTTCGTGCATTTGTCAGTTTTTAACTGCTTTCTCTTTTTTAAATGTGGTTCTTTTCCTTTTAAACGTATTCCTATAGGTGGTTTAACCTAGTTAACATTGCCGAATTAACTACTTCAAGAGCGAAATTAAAAACATCTTGTCGCACAAAAGAGTTTCGTAGCGAGTGGTTCACGTTCTAATCTAGCCCGATAACTCTGACACGACAAATCTGACATGTATGCAGTCAGCCTACAAAAGTACTGCTAAGTGTTACATGATCAGACCGTTAAGTTCGTTTGCTGATCAGCGTTAGTAAGTTGAACGATATCTGCCGCGTTCCGGAAAAACCTCGCGTACTGGCGGTCACGGAAGCTCCCTCACCAAGATGGATTATGTTTTTTATGGTCATACTGAAGGAGATTACGCCGAGTAGGTGAGGGTATCATCGAATCAATGAGGCGGCCTTTCGTGTGGAACAGGTGTGGGATAATATATTCATCTGTCGCATAAATGTCGAGGAGGCGACGGCTGAATATTACTATTGCCTTTGGCCCAACAAAGGCGTCGAATATGCAGTTAGCCGTTAGCGCTTTGCCACGTCATGTCGTCACAGCTGTCACAATCGACCTTAACGAGAAGGCTTCCGCCACTTGCAGCATATGACTAGGAGTAATTTGCCTTCACGCAATTAAGAGCAGAAATGACAACGGTGCACTAACTCTATTGTTTGATATACAGCTTAATCGTCATCTGGACACGACTCCCTCATGAACGAATTCACTGAAGTACATGGACATACCGGAACGGAAGCCTACGGTTCTAATAATAGTTCTTCCACATCAGCAGCGGAGCCTGCATCGGTTCCGATGACCGCATGGCCGCAATGAAACTTCATCCAAAATTAGCCGCATCATATCAGTCGCCTGGTTAAAACAGCAGCCTCCAACTGTTAACAGTTACAATATGATGAAGTGATGCAGTCTGTTTACCAAAACGAGGTAAACAATTATTTTAAAGCCATTTTCGGTGCCCAGTGAGGAGTGGCAGCACCAATGAAGCTCACAATGACTTCAAAGTCAGCGTCAGATAAAACCTATTACAGATGAGGAATAGGAGAGCCAAACTGGCATGGGTTACGGGCGACACAGCCATTACAGATCAGAGTGATCAGACTAAGGAGTACTTGCGAAATCCTGCTGTACCCTTAAAGTCACCCCATCTTTGCTCATGCAGCCAATCAGAGCTTAAGGAGGGACAGACAACTTTCGCAAGCGGGGAAAATCAGGGAATTGATAAAGGGCAACCAGAAAGAGAAAATGTCGAATAGTGCTTCAATGGGTATGACACTGTCTGATAAGGAAAGAATCCGCTACTCCAGCATCCAGGGCTGTAAGGATATCTCAGTGGCAGAAAATTACTCAAAAGATGAGTCCATCGTTTCCTAGAGTACAGTACTCAACAGGTACTGTCTAGATTCTCATTTTTCTACCGTTAATTTACAAGTAATATCAGAGGTTGGCATAAACCCCCAACAAAACTAGAAAACAAAGAAAAAACATTGCCGCACCTTATAGTGAAAAAGACCTGCGGTGTGAATCAAACTGACTCTGGAGCTAATTACATATGACGAAAACAGAGTGACAGAAACGGCCCATACTCTATTTCATAAAATGTGCACCTTGAAGTGTTTCCACGGAGAAACTAAGCATGGTATAAATTGCCACATCTTTGAAGGGGAAAGGATGTTTTGCTACGGTGGCATTACCCTACTGACCGCTGCCATGTAACTGTTCTCTCAGATGATATTGGAAAGACTGAGGTAAGTAGGTCATACATGACTCTAAATGAGGCAGGCTTCCATGCGGGGTATTCATGTCCTTATAAAATTTTTACTCTTCTAAGGATCATTCAGCAATGCCAACGATTCCATTTGATTTGGTTTACCGACTATTGGACTTCAAAGCAACATCTAATTCAGTGATTTAGTCAACATATCGTCCAATAATATGAAGAATCTTAAAATACTATAGGGTACCTGAACACAATGTTTCCATTTTGGATAAGATGTGTGCAGGCACCATGTCTGCTGCAAATAAACATGGAGAGCTACCAGAATGGTTCGGTTTTAGTTGTGGAGTTCGCAACGGAGATGTGCATTAGCCTTTTCCATTAAACACTGTTCTCGACTTTAAAACAGTGCTGACCCTGGCAGAGAAGTTTTCGTCCATTTCTAGAGAGAAGGCACGGTTACAGATACCTGGCAAGATATCTAGTTGACCAGAATATGCAGACACTACTGTCCAACAAGCGGGCTGTGACCTGACGGCTATCGATTGTACAATAACGTCTGGAAGGGTTATGAGGAACCCATCATAGAATGCTAATCATCTAGTAGAACAGAATGTAAAAGCCATAGAAAAGTCGACCAATTCAGGAACTCCATTAAGATACTCTCCAAGATAGCATCGTAAATCAGAATTAAATAGGAATTTCGCCCTCCCATCCAGTGATATTGGTAACCTGCCAAATATTTAGGCTGAGAAAGAGACAGCCCTTTCCTCAAAAACCTGCCTGTACCTTTCCTCTGTCAAGTCAATGTTTTATGGCATGGGGACAATTATTAAAACGAGAGAGGAAGAATGACAGTAGAACTGCAATCAGCAGCATTGGTTCAGACAAATAATGAGGGTTAGATGACGCAAGAAATGACCACATTCTTCTCCGGGCAGAGGTGACCATGGCAGATGTGGCTATTAGGCAAAAGAAATGCCCTTGTAAACAAACTAGTTGAGCAAATGCGATTAACTGATTCTATATTTTTGACTGCGCAAATGCGCGGATTCTATATGACTGGATTGTGGTCATCTCGATCAATTGTAGTATCCAATCCAGCAAGTTATATATCTACGAGAAGATATCCGTAAGCACAATGTGAAACTTCTGTCAAACTAATGAATTTCTAAGGTTCTAAGATTTCGTCCATCAGCAGATGTTCATTATTTATATATTAATCTCTCACCAGTACAATACGGAAACGACTGTCAAATTGCGCAATTATTTCACAGAATTTAAATTTGTGAACATAACTTAGTGTGGAGTAAACTTTTCATAGAAGAACGAGCTGAGATACAAAGCAGCTTTATTTTTATAGCATAGTATATATTGATCAATTCTTCATGTTGCAGTTCAGATGATAGAAACATCCGGAAATGCGTTCTTCATTGCATGCATCAGCGCAATTTCGAACTCACAAAAAATTGAATTTGGATAAGGTATCGGTACAACTGCTCTTAATATCTGAAAGAGCATGTCGCTGTCTGCTTGTCTGGCAAAAGCGCGTATACAACAGGATGGACACCACCAAACCATTCTGCCAGCATTGTAAACACTTAACAGAACAGTGGCGGTTCAGATCGAAATGTTCCATCTGTAAACCACATTCTCGACTCACTCAAGATCGGCTGGTTTCGCTGCATGCCAAGAATCAATGTTCTATTGTGTCCAGGTCCACTGTCACCAGTCAAGAACGATTCAAAGACATCTGGCTGCGGTTCATACCTTTTATATGATTTCGGCAGAGTTAGTGTCTGCAAATCAGTAAGAGCCGGTGGAGCAGCAATCACTTTCTTTATTTCTTCTTCGAATTATAATCTTCTTAAGTGCTCGAAGATTTTAAGTAAACCCTGGGCCCTTTGAAACAGTCCAACTGTGCACACTTTATAACTTGCACAGGCGCTTTCATGTTGTCCTCGGAATGTCTTTTGATTTTCGTTCTGCCACTTTCACACCCACCGCCGAACTCTCATGAGAATGTTCACCAATTTTTAAGACAACAGCTGTACCTGCTGTGTATATCCTTGCTTTGCATCGATCCTTCTGTACACAACGCCAAAACTTCTTTGTACCATCGGTACTATTCCAGCAAAATCTCTGACGAAAACTTCTCCCGGTCTCATTTTGAAAGCGGAATTGCGAACATCCACGATACACTCAATGAATCACTTTTCCTTACTGCAGTATAATTCACGTGCTTAATATAAGCAACGATGGAAACGTGATAGTGGAACTGATTTGTACAAATGGTGTCAGATTATAATGGCCACAACAATACTGCGCTTTGAATAAATGACCTTGCGCAGAAAAATATTGGAAGTGCAAAACTTTGGCAGTGGATTCGTACTGTGCTCAGAGAGGACAATTCATTAATATGTAAACTATGAGCACCTGCTGATGCATAGTCAAACTCTAGGCCGGACTGAGTTAATGAGTTCTCGCAGGCCGAAAAATGGAGCCAAAATTAAACCCGAATAAAATATGAAAAATTCAATAGTTTAACAGAAACGTCACATTGCGTTCAAGGAGCTTCTCATAGATAGTAAAACTGCGGTTTGGATGCTACAGTTGATCGAGATAACCAAGCAGACGTAGACAACGACGCCAACATGCAACAAGGAGGAACAAGATATGGTATGTCGGCTTTCAGAGAGAAAACTTCCCTTCGGTGATGCAGTAAATCCTATTTCATACACAAATTAGTGCAAAACTGTGAACACAAAGAAAAGGACAAACATGATATGTTCTGTTGATGCAAAGGGCTAAAGGCGATGATCAGACACACATGGCTAAGAGACTTGAAAATTTAAATGTTTACTGCTGAAGCGGAAAGTAAAGACTGAAACTGTAATACCTTATGCAATATCGCGGATCAGAGGTTCCTGAAAAACAGGCCGGTAAGGTGCCACTCAGAAAACTAAGGTAAAGGAAAGCAAAAGAATATAACTTTCTAAATGAAACCGAGAAGGTTGCATTCATATTTCGGAACACAGTAACAAATCTTCAGAGTATCGTTCAATTTTGATACCTCGATAAAATGAAAAGGCTTACGGAACATTTTGCTACATGGTAAAACAGTCATTACCACAACGGCCAGATACTATGCGCAGTTCTCCTGGACGCAGAAACAACCCAACGGGCTATATTAGGCCCTCGGATCACAAACTTGATTACCCTTGTGAGAGCCAGTAACTTCAAAAAACTGTCCCAGCAACGTCAGGGTTGTCATGTTGGAATCAACTTCCGATAGGACATAAAAATTCTTCCTGACAAAAGAATCAGTGGCAGCAATGAAGGAGCAGGAGTCGGCTAGTAAATCACTGCTAACGCTTAGAAATCGCTAATTCGAACGGCCAAAACCAGAACTGTGGATCTTGCCGCATCTCGCTACTTATGCACGCAGTATTAATAGCTATCACACTCAGTGATAGCCGATCATGATACTGAATTTGCGCTTCAATAAAATAACCAATATATCGCCAGAAATAAGTTAAAACGAATTAGTGTAAAAATCTTACGTTGCTAGCAACTTGGTTTTCAACGGAATGTTTGATTAACCATGTTCCGGCCGCGAAGCGATCGGCTGTTTTTTTATCATCACACAACAAGAAATCGTCAAAGAAAATATCATCTGTCATTGTCCAAAGTTCCAAACCAATTGCGGCCTAAAACCTTCACTGAAAATCATTCCTGACGAATAAGATCCATTAAAAATACGATTGGTTCCAAGCTACGGAAAACATTTTCGATTTCAAAATATTCAGGATTATCAATCAGGCGGGGAGTCCACTTGCCCTAGAAAATTAAGCTAAATGAAGGCAGTAAATTTATCGATAAGTCGGAACCTTGAAGTTGGGATTAGGTATCATTGGCGGTGTCCACTTGCCTTTATATGCTGGATTCTTTATCTTAGGAGGGGTCCATTTGCCACAACCAGAAACTGTTGCGCATTTGGGATTTTCTAAAGAGCAGCTGAAACATGGAAACAAATAATCGTCCCATACTGATTTGAGGCGGTTCCCACTTTCCGTCCATGTCCTCGTCCCTAAATCAGTTGTTCTTGCAAGTAGTGGCATAATCGAAACCGTACCAATCTTCAGGTTTCTTAGCAGTATCGGATGGTACGTATTCACTTTCATCCTCTAACCAGTCAGTTGGCTTCACCGCATTCACGTCTTCAATGAACTCGGGTATAGCTTCGTCCCTGCAGAGCACGTAATGAAATCCGTAATATCTATACCTCAGTCGTCAAGTCAAATAACGTACCAGTCATCCGGTTTTTTACTGTTTGGGTCCGGTATTCTAGATAAACTCTTTAAAATCAGAAAAACAAAAAAAATCATTCAGTCACCTTTCATTT